TATCAAGATGAGTAAGTATAGAGGTACCTTCAGCCATACGAAAAGTGTAGAATTTTTGCTTTAAGTAAATCCTGTTTTCTACTGTTCTTTTCATATATAAGGTTTTAAGCTTTTCCCATATGCCTTTGGCTGAGCTTTCTGCTGCAACTTCACGCAAAACCTCATTTGAAAGATTTAAAATAATACCTGCTTTTGCCTTTTTGTCTATGACGGCAAACTCCTCGTCCGTCATTTTATCCGGCATCTTCTCATTTCCTTGCAGTGCCAAATCTAAGCCATCCTGAATTAGGATAGCTTCCATCTTTAATTGCACAATTCTGTCTTGGTTTGAAAAATATGTCATCTTGATAGTCATAAATGTCTGTTAGGATCGGGAACCCGGGTAGTGCGAAATTTAGCCAAACAACGGTATAGTGACAATAACAAAGACAATGGAAGTTGATAATAACGGCAATTAAAGAATATAAAGAAGACACAAATTTAATGTGGTTCGGTCAAGTTGACCTACGTCCACAAGCGGAGAGGAGCAATTTCACTATACCAACAAGAGTACAAAATTAGAATAAATACTCTAATTAATCCCAAATACCCCAAGAGAATAACCTCACAAGATCACTCCAAAGAAAGGGTTCACACAAGTGTTTCCCAACACTCACTCTCTTACAAAATACTCTATTATGAAATAAAGGAGGAGAAAGAAAGACAAGAGTGAAAAACTCTTGAATTGGTGTGTTTTCAAATGAGGAGAAACTCCTCTATTTATAGCAAGAAATCCTTGGCCTAATAATGGATATTATGTCATGGCAAATGTCATGATCCACAAATTTGTTATAATGGATATTATGTCATAGCAAATGTCATGAACCACAAGTTTGTTATAATGGATATTATGTCATGGCAAATGACATAAACCACAAATTTGTTATAATGAATATTATGTCATGGCAAATATCATGAAAATTTGGCCATATTACAATATCCATAGATCGTGAAAAGAAACCTTTTCATAAATAAATCTATAACATTGCAGAAATATTGAACGGCACGAAACGCTTACTAACAAAAGAAAGAAAGAACAAACCCAAATGCATCCCAAATAATCACATAACGCTCTGCAGGATTAGAATATCAATTTGGTCTCTTTCATTGTTCCTGTTTTCTAACCAAACTTAGGAGAGTATATATTAATCTTTCCCACTGAGGAGAAATGGGTCAAAACATGATTTCCGAGCAAGTTGCAACTGCTAGCTAGCATGCAGGTGTTGTTTTCTTGTTTATCAGCACATTCTGTGAGGACTCACTTATTATTAATTACTCCCTTTTTGTCCAAGAGGTCAATATTGGCAAAAAGACAGGTTATGATCTGTTGCTCCAGTGATGGTATTTTCTTTTTAATTCGTTCTTAAGAAGAATGACATCTTTAAACCTAATACCTTTAAATTTCGTATTTATATTTAGATGATCTATAGTTTACAGATTCATATGACCATAAATTTTAACAAAAAAAATTCATAAAATTCACACTCAATCAAACTCCATTCAAACTCCATTACATAAGTTAGGGACGGAGAAGTATATCATTTACTAGTTCCATTTTAGCTCTGAAATGGAACTATTTTAGATATGACATTTTATGTTATTTCTGATGCAGTGAAATCATGGACAGGTTGGCACTCTGCAGAGGATTCAATTTTCGGAGCTTGGAGATTCACTCTTTTGTCTGTGTCAGACAACTTGTTCTTTACCTTTTCTTTCACTTGGAATATTCTCTCTTATCTTATTCCCAGCTTCATAATG